TGTGTGCGTATGCAGGCTGACTAGCAGCTGTGTAACCGCTTATCACAGTACTGGGATTCACGTATCGAGCCCTGCACAGCAACTGCAATATTAATCATGAGCGTAGCAGCATAGAGCTAGGCAGACTAGCATTCAACAAGAAACAGCGAAGCAGTCTGTTACGTATCACATTCTCCAGTACCATAGCTCTGTAAGGCGTCGGATCTGCAGCTAGGTGGTTTGTTAGAATAGACGGCACAGAGTGCGCTCAACCTGCCAAACTTGACATTTTCTCCTGGGGAGAGTCGCTATTGTGGGCCCATCGTCCCAGTGTATTGACAGGAATATGTGCCGCAAACAGTTCAGGAACCATTGGAAAATGCCAACACGTGATCTCAGTACACCTGGTCAAACATCCTGATCACTGTCGTTCAAGCGCGTACTAACCACGGAGGTTGCAGTAAGATCACTGTTTCCGAACAAGGTGGTCTCCACACGGCCGTGTAACAATGTTACATGCTGTCAACTAACAACATGGTTATTAGTCTATACAGTATTTTAGAGTGATGGAGGTCTGCCCGCTGTTCTCAGCAAAGGTTGACCGGCATAACATAATTGCATGCATAGCATTGTGATACTTGTTCGAGTAGAAAATGACGATGCATACTGCCCTGAGTATTATCCCTTTTTAAATGCTTACTAGTACTTCGTTACACTGGCATGTAGGACCTGAGATCATGACACAGTTCAGGTGCGCCCAGTGATGGAGTACTGCCCCATTGTGTGGATGGGAGCGGCCCCATCCCACCTTGCAAGAGACAGTCTGAGTCGACCGTTGGCTGCCGAGTCTTGCTCTTCGTCGGACTGTTGCAGCACTTTGCCTTCTGTACCATATGCATTTTCCAGATACTACCCTGTTCTACAGAGGATGTTGCCACCCCAACAGACGCAACACCGAACACTCCACTCCACCCATTGTACGTTGCAGTGATGTAATGCCCACATACACCAACAAATTACTTGCAAATGAACTTCCAGTCCGCTCCCGAAGTTACTTGTGTCGAGCCCACCGTGACCATGGTGACCCTCACTAATTAGTTGTCCCCGGCTGGAAGCAGCTGCCTGTAGACAGTGTAGTTTCATCATTCTTTGTTGAGCTCGTGTACGGGTAGGTGGTGGTGTACGGATCGGATATCTTTCGTCACGACTATCGTAGATCTACATCGTAGATCTACAATCATGATTGTATCTCGAGGAATACGTATCTCTAGGAACGCGGTTTCATTATGTCTCGCACGCTATGTTCTCAACTAACTCAAACTCATACTGTCATTGGTGCCCGGATGTCATGTATTCACTATACGTACCAGTAACCACTGTAGCTTCGACAATGATGATGATGACAACAAAATTTAATATTTTTGTTGTTCAAACGTTGTTGTCGCTAGCTCAGCCGACCTGACACCTAGTAGAGTCTACCTCCCCAGCCAGCCGGCCAGTCGGGCTCTCATTCGTAGATCTACAAAGCATGCACTGCACCCATCGACGGATTTGACGTGTTCAGTCTCGTCCATATCATGCATGGTCTTGGCGTTCTGAGTCATCTGGACTTCACGAAATCATCAGTATAGTCACCATGGTCACATCACTGAAGCATAATTATACGCTAAAAACCAAATCAATTCAGGAAAATTCAATTCAAATCAAAGTCGTGACACATCCGGTAAAAAAAAACAGCAAGAAATAATATCTCGGTGCAAAAGAAGAAAAAGGAAATAAAAATGCGCTTCATTTTAAAGGGGAACTACACCCAAAAATCAAAACTTCATGGTCCGTAGAGTTTTGGACGCTGAGTCGAATGGTGAAGGTCCCACTTCGATCCGACCAAGCGTTCTTGAGATATATCAGTCCTTTTCGGGTCCGTGCCGTGACGTCACAAACCCGTGACGTCATTGAGACTTGGTGATCCTTTGGCCAGATCCAGAAACACTGGGATTTCGCATCTTCTTTCTGTTTGTCCATGGAAGAAGAGGGTATTTGTGTCATCATGGCTTCTGGCTGTGTTGTTGGCTACTATAATCTTACTGGTAACCCCCCTGGGATGAACCTGCACCACTTTCTGAAGGATTGTGCTTGGCACAGGCCGAGCAGTGCACCATAGCAGCTATCAAGCGACATAATTATTTGCTTGACAATTTAGGGACTACAATGTAAATCCTTCGCGTGTGTTCCAGCCATTTGGCAGAGGAGGATTTTCAGGAGGAATATTATGCACTCATCCGATGCGGACGCTGGTGGATGAAACTGTGGTGCGTCCTTTTTCGCACGCCACACTGTGAAGTGTCAGTCGAAAAGCGGAGGTGAGTGCAATATTTCAAAAACACTAGCTACTGTATGTAGTTCTTTCTTTTCCAAAGCATTTGTAGAATTGTTTTGGACTACATCACTACGAAATGTGAAGCTTTCCGAAACCGGCCTGATGAGGTGGACGGCAGTAGATCTCCTGTTTCCCTAGGCTATACTGCGTGCGATCGATGAACCTGTCTGCGATTGCTGTTCTTGATTTTACAGGAAGAAGATCAAGAGCGGCTGTACCATCGGTCGCAGTGACGCACTGTTGAGCTACGACCACTGCCACCGCCCCAAGGTTATAGGAAGGACTGTTTGCAGCGCCAGCGCCGCTAGCTGGCATGTTTTTTTTCCTGTATGAACACACAGTATGTACTGCTGATAAGCTACATCACGCAATGACCCGCAGTTCAAGGAGAGAAGATAGTCCACATACCGGCAACGGTGTACACCTATTCGGGAACTCGTTGGGTTTTCTCAGTATGGATGCAGATGAGAGCCAGACATTATTATTATTGTGTGTATGCGTGCAAGCACGTGAGTGTGTGTGTGCGCGCGCAAGCGCGTGAGTGCGCGCGCGCACGAGCGTGAGTGTGTGCGCGCGCCCGTGCGTGAGTGTGCGCGCACGTGAGTGTGTTTGCGCGCACGCGCGTGAGAGACAGACATTGTTATTATTGTGTGTGTGGGTGCACGCGCGTGAGTGTGTGTGTGCGCGCGCACGCGCGTGACACTGAGTGTGTGCGCGCGCATGCGCGTGAGTGTGTGTGTGTGTGTGCGCGCACTTGCGTGAGTGTGTGTGTGTGCGCGCACATGCGTGTGCTTTTGTGTAATGTAATATAACATTCCAAAGATATTCACGTCATCTATTCTGTGTTCTCCTTTATGTCATTCTCTCCCCCTTGCGGGAGGGACATGGAATGACAAGTAGTAGATGCATTGCCATTAGTGATCCTGAGGGATGTGTGGGTATGCAACCAAGTGCATGAGTGCGCGCATGTGTGCGTGCACGAGCATGTGCACAGGCACTTGTATGTTTATGCACTCGTGTGCGCACGAGCTTGTGAAATTGCGTGTCTGCGTGCGTGAGCATGTGTGACTACTATACTATGTGCCCACCAAGGTGAGCACATGTGCGTGCGTGTGTGGGGGGCGCAGGCGGATATGTGCACACATTTTAGAATGATAATCAAGGACAGAGCTGTTCCGGTAATGCAGTCATGAGACACCACAGTAGGGCAAAACGCACTCAATAATAATATGCTACTGTGCTGCTGCTGCTGCTGGAGTGTACAGCGTAATTGTTGGTACACAGCTACGTGAAATACAAGAGAACGTCTCAGCATTCTGTAAAGACTAAGTGATAATGCAAAAGGTGAGAATGTATTTCGCCACAATACGAATTGAGGTGCAGTCCACTTATGTGAGATAAAGCACAAGTGAACCGATACACATTGCACGACTTGCACGGAGATAATGCTAGCCATGTTACGCAGCAAACTCCATGTACAGGAGTACGAGTGAGGAGACTATTGATCTGAGTACTGTGCGAATACAAAATTTCACACAATTTACGATATGAAGAGAACGATTCGATTTGGGAGCATTACGTAGGACTATACTGTGAAAACACTTACGGATTGTCAGGGTTGTCTGAGCTGCTTTGGCTGCCGCTTCATTTCGAAATAGCCCAGCCAACCGGTTGCCAGATGTTGCTGATAGAGAGCGACTTCTCCAATTGCAGTAATTTCTGCTTCATCCACATTTACAGCCCGAATGGTAGCCACCGCTTGCGCTGCCATATCCTTTCCTGAAAATTTCGGCTCATGCCCGAAGCCAAACATTTTCAGCTCAGGTTCTGAGCTTTCAAGCTCGTCTGATACGTCGGAATCGCTCATGGTGAGGACGTCTTTGTCAGAACTATTCCTTTCACATACCAAAATACCTGTACTTCTGAGCTTGGCCCAGGCAAGCCAGTCTCAATGACGTAGAAGGGCGTGTTGGGGGTGTGTCGCGGCCGCATGACGTCATGGCGCGTCCCCCGAAAGTACAATTTAAACCGAAGATATCTCAGGAACGCTTGGTCGGATCGAAGTGGGACCTTCACCATTCGACTCAGCGTCCAAAACTCTACGGACCATGAAGTTTTGATTTTTGGGTGTAGTTCCCCTTTAAAGGACCAAACGAAGAAAAGCAAAGAAATACCCACATCAGCGCTAAATTTGCGCCTTAAATTATAAACAAAAACATGACGCGTCCATTAGCATTGAGGACACTGCCATTAGCGAGGTTATACACACCACTGTTACATCCGTCCCTCAGCCATGGCTAGTGGGCGCAATGCATTTACCGGTCGATGGTATGCAAAGCGAGCCCCTCTGATGCACATAACTGCAGCTCGGAGAAGTGCAAACGACAGACGGCATCTGACATAGGCCATAACCAGATAACCTCGCCGTAGGGCTTGCCATCATGCTGTGCCAGCATAGCGCATAATCGCTTCAAAAACCGCAAGCATTCTGGGGATGCACTGCCAGCCGTGGTGAAGACAAGCGGGGTAAGTAACAAGTAAGTAAGTTAGTTACCACGGTCAACATTGACAATCCTTTCGTTGTGCTGCAGCAGTCACATCACTCAACAGACCTGATAATAATTATGTGGACTGCTGACTGCGGTGCGTTCCCCGTGACTGTGACTGCGTCGAGGTTGAAAACAACACGATTTTAGTGCTTGCAGCATGCACTGACTGCATTGACTCTGTTGTCGACTCGAAGCCGAGAATTTGAAAGAACTGTTTCTCAGTGGTGTAGCGGAAGAACGTAGATCTACTGAGTCTGTTACGGATAGATCCAGTGTTGTGTGTTTGTTAGCTGAAAGGAATATCCAACACGTTTGGAGATGGCGTTTCTTGCGTTTGGCTCGTCCGCCTCTGCGCTCCAGCTGTTGTCGGTGATTTTTGTTGCGATGCTGATAGTTTTCATTCCCAACGCCCGTGCAGCCAGCATCCCTGTCGTCGCGCACGGAAACGGTAAGAAGTCATTCATTCCGTACGTAATGAACATTTTAGCCGGGCATGCACGCCTCCTCTGCATTTACATTGTACTCGTTGAAAAAATGTTCAAGAAAAACGCCTTACAGTATTATATCGGAACCACAATGATCCTATCCCTGAGCGTGTAGTTAGACATGTTGCGCCTCAGCCTGATCGATATTTGCACTCCACTCAACTGTACAGTACACGAGCAGTTTTTCCGTGGTTTGCACATGTATAAGGGGTTATATCCGTCCTCCCTATCCGCAGAGAGTGCAGTCGTCCTCCCGACAGAGATTGTACTTGTCTACACTGAGCAGCACAGCCTGCACAGGACATGCTCGTTTTACTGGTCTACTTTCAGAAAATAGTGGTGTGACTCCCTCTGACCCAGGTCATGGTAATAACGGGGGGGGGGATAGGGCATTGATAGCTCTAGAAGTGGGCATCCAGGGACCCTTGTGAATACACAAATCCTCCTCCCATAAACTAGACTACGATGGTTTGTGTCCAACACGGTTGAAAGCGGCATACAGTAATTTGATCTGGTAGCTGAACTGAGTTTGACCCTGTGCTGGCGTGAAATGACCAACATTGTTCAATTACAATCCATGTAAATATACAAAGGGCGTGAAAGGAAAATGTCACCATTGACGTCAGACTCAAGTGTTGCGCATCCATAGGAACGCCACCACCCCCTATGACTCAAGGCGCAGATGCATAGGGTTTGAGGGTGATGCAGAGAAAGTACACCAGTACAGTCTACTTCGCTAATAACGACTGCGGATATAACGGCAATTAGCGAACAACGACGGAGTTTCCATGCCCGGAGCAAAGTCCATTCTACCTGTATACATATAATGAGACTTCGGCTATAACAACACTTCGCGAATAAAGACGCTTTTCTGATGCCCCGCCGAGTGTCGTTATACGCAAAGTTGACTGTACCTGAATGCCCGGGTGACGCACCCTGGGTGTACCGAGCGTGATCAATACCGCGGAGACAGAGCGTATTTATTACACAGTACAAGAAAGGCACAAAACTAGTTTGTTACAATTCTGAGTTTCACGCTATGCAATCATCAGGAAACATATAACATGATACTGTTTGGGGGGGGGGGTGTGGATGGGGGGGGGGGGGGGGATAACACTGGAGTGGCCAACACTGCAGTTGCACTTTTCTAGGGCTGAACTCCCCTCTTCTATTCAAACAGAAAGAGCTTCAGTCGCCTTGTTATTATCCAGTTTTGTTTAGCCATGATGAGCAGGTGTGCGCTTAGGGCAACCTGGCCTGTAAAAGGGCAACAACACAGCAGTCAGTCCTGGATTGGTGCACTGCAGACGATTGAGGTGTTGACCATTCACACAGGACATGCAGCAATAAGACATTAGCAGTATGTAAGATAAAGGGGACTGTCCCTATCTCCAGAAAATGCCAGGCATAATCAGGTTCCAATCTGACCAGGAAGTCAATATTTTACTACTCAAATCACTACATAATATAATGTTGTCACCTTCACGTATTATGGTGTTCTTGTTGTCATAGATACCTGTATGACAAGATGGCTGACTGCCGCTATGGTAGGCAGTGGTGCATCGAGTGCAGACATTCAGCGATTCGAGAAACTGATGAAGAAGTTCCAACCGGCTGTTGACGAGGACACTGTCCACGAAACTGCCCCGGAACTCCTGGGATTAGTTCTCGGTGGAAATGAGCAGGCTGTGAACCTCCTCTATCGATGCATGGGTAAGTTTTCTGAGTTGATGATTCTGCCATGTTCTGTCTAACAGAGCATATTGGATATTTGCTGGATTGCAATTACAAGAACTCAGTACATACGGTGTACTTACTCTGCACATTTCTACACAACATTCACCTATAGTAATCTTACTGGCTTTTGAAAACACAATTGGGACCAAATTTATGCAATTTATGCTCAAGACCTAACCCCAAATTTGAAAAGGTTTGTGTTGGATCTGCTTCCCCATACATTTTGTCATGGTATATTTGTCCAGCTATTATGAAACCTGGCCTTATCCAACTCAGTAACATTGGAGTTTTCAACCGAGAATGGGGCAAGGAAGAATAGCACGGGTCACACAATATGGGAATGTGTAACAGTTTTCACTACATTTTATACCAAGAATTGTCAAAACAAAACATGCGAGACGACCGGAAGTCAGGATGCCGTTTTTAGATGAAAGGACATGCTCTCTCTCTCTCTCTCTCTCTCTCTCTCTCTCTCTCTCTCTCTCTCTCTCTCTCTCTCTCTCTCTCTCTCTCTCTCTCTCTCTCTCTCTCTCTCTCTCTCTCTCTCTCTCTCTCTCTCTCTCTCTCTCTCTCTCTCTCTCTCTCACACACACACACACACACACACACACACACACACACACACACACACACACACACACACACACACACACACACACACACACACACACACACACACACACACACACAGAGGATTCCGTTTGATCACGATCACGGAAAAATACAAATTGAATTATCCAAGTTTGTTGAATCATTTTTTTCTGTTTCTGTGTTTGAAGGTAACCATGACGATGCAGAGTGTCTGCGACAATCACCATGCCAGCATCTTGGTCGGTGTGTGTACAGTAGGGAACCTGGTTCATCAGGATCACCGTACCCAGGGTACAGATGTGTGTGCTCTAGGGGTGTCAGCGGACGGTTTTGTCAGCATGGTGAGTGATACGAGTACAGTTGAGCAGCTGACTAAAATCCCACACAAAGTGATTTGTACAGTTGAGCAGCTCACTGAAATCCCACACAAAGGGGTAAGTACAGTTGTGCAGCTCACTGAAATCCCACACAAAGTGATTTGTACAGTTGTGCAGCTCACTGAAATCCCACACAAAGTGCTAAACTGATTTCCTGAATCAGCTCCAATTACATACATGACTGTACTGGTACGTGTGTACATCCAGCAGCATACGTACCACTTCCAACGTGTCAAAGGCACTGCAAGTTGAGGAGCCAATTATGCACTCTGGTTAGGATTTCACCCAGCACAACTCTACTACAGACTTGTCTTGATGAACATTATCTCCAGTTTACAGTGTCTTGGAACCATCGGGACTGATGAATAGGGTGGTTTCACATCTATCACATGAGCATACCAGACAGTCATGTTGGTTTCAATTCCACTCAACCCTTATTATTATTATTATTATTATTATTATTTGAGGGATTCCCCACAGGCCGATGTCTGAATCAAGGGGGTTCTCCGATAATACATATCCTTGTAACCTCTTGGCTGGTTCAGAGACGGAGGTATTCATGAACCGGTGTTGTTTTGTTGGTTTGTCCCGTGAACATGACATTGTAAACCACAGCGTTACCTAGCTGTTCATCATCTCCGTGTAAGAATGGTGGTACTTGTCAGGAGACAAGTGAAGGATACACATGCCAATGTCCCACACTCTACACAGGACGACATTGTCAAAGACGTAAGTACGGACACATGTCTATTGTATCTTGATAACGTTATCCACCGTGGTGCTAACTTGCCATGGCTGTTGACAATGAGATCCCAAAGTGGAAAACACACTCACATGAATATGTATTCAATTGAATGGGAAGTAAGGCTCTTCTTCCTCCCCTTTCAACAGTGAATAATGTCAATGACATGTCCAAATACTACTGGCATCAACTGGGTATCTAGGGCATGGATGATATTATTCATCACCACACCAACACACGTCCGTCTTGATAGCATGAGTCATAGATTACCTTGCTACACTTCCATAGGGATGAGAACCCAACTAATAATAATAATTCGCGGGATTCGCGTTGGCATCGCTTGAATGTTCAGAAACACACAAACTAGCCTTCGCTTCCGCAGGCCACCACTATGCCTATGCCTTGCACACCTGAGTGGCGAATGCAGACCTCACAAGTGAGTCAGGGGAGAGTAGGTGAGTCTCTCAACCAATCGGGCGTGTAACGGCCCATAACCCTGTAAACTGCATCCTTGTTACCCTCACTCCGAGCTGTGAGTACCCAGTTGACCGTGGGTGTCGGCGCAGTTCACCACGCATAAAGAGTCTTTACTCACGTAAAAAGTCTTTACACGCTCCCTGCTACCAGCGCGAGTCTCGAACTCGGGACCTCATGATTCGCAGGCAGGCCTGCAAACCAATCGGCCATATGCGTTGGTCTATGAGAACCCAACTATGGAAAGCAAAGCAAAAGATCTGCCCGCAGTCTGATGTTGCTAACTCACATATTTGCCAAGCTACAGTCAACTTCGCTAATAACGACTGCGGATATAACGACAATTCGCGAATAACGACATAATTTTCATGCCCAGAGCAAAGTCCCATCCAACTGTGACACATATAATGAGACTTTTGGGTATAACGACACTTTGCGAATAAGGACACTTTTCTGATGCCCCACCGAGTGTCGTTATAAGCGAAGTTGACTGTACTTCTTCTCTTCTATTCTATTCCTTTCCATTCTCATCTTCTGCCTCCGTCTCTATGTCTCCGTTTCTCTGTGTCTCTCTGTCTCTGTCCCTCTATCTATCTGTCTCTGCCTCCGTCTCTCTCTATTTGTCTGTCTATCACTCTATAAACTGGGAGCAATGATTGCTAAATTGCATCATTAATCACGCTGTTTTTTTTCTTGCAATTGTCCTGATGAACGTGATGAACAGTCTTTGGTCACTAAAGTCTCTCCCTTTGAGAGAGTGAAATCAGCTGTATATTTGTTCTGTTTTTTTTTTACTCAAAGTCCACTTGATTTGTTTTTCACTGTGTGCTGGCTGTATGACAGATTGGTGGTCCAAATACATCCTTGCAAACATGACGTCATCGTTATCCAAACTTACCACCATTACGAACGGCCTGCTGAAGAGCACAGCAGATGCTGTGAGGGAGTCGTCCGACTCAGTCACTGCTTTTCTCTCCCGTCTCCAAGTCACCGTCAATCGAAACCTCGATCAGAGATTGGAAGCAATGCAGCGAAAGTTGCAAAACCATACCACATTTGTCCAGGTGAGTACGGATTTCAGATTGCTCTTTAATTTGAGTAGTTTTCTCTCTTCCTCAATCCCTTATAATGATTATGGTCTCACTGCTGCAGAGATCACTTTAGGTTCAGCAGATTGTTCAGGCATGATGGTCCATCCACAGGGTGAAACAGTAACTTGCTAAAATGTGCATTTTAAAGAAGGAGGTAGGAGGGAGAATAGTATTTAAATTCCTCTCTGAGTCTTGTTACACTATTCTTCCTGGTGATGGTGTATGTCCCAGACTCCCAGACCTGTATGTAGATTGTATGCAGACTCACAGACCTGTGTATAGGTTGTATGTAGACTCCCAGACCTCTATGTTTGTTGTATGTACACTCCCAGACCTGTGTATGCATACTCCCAGATCTGTGTATTTGGTGTCTGCAGACTCGCAGATCTGGATATTATTATTATTATTATTTGGAAAGGATTGGGAGAACTTCAAATTCAAAGGATCAGTCGGGGAAGTGAACTGCCTGAAAAGAGAAAAAAACGCCAGACCCACCAGGACCTCCTGGTGGGTCTGGCGTTTTTTTCTCTTTTCAGGCAGTTCACTTCCCCGACTGATCCTTTGAATTTGAAGTTCTCCCAATCCTTTCCAAATTTAATCACTTTCTTTCACCTCTGGTAGTTTCCAGAAACTGACCGTGGTTGGTCCCCTTGGGGAGGGAAAAAGACCCAAGTGCCATCAGTATGTGTGGCACGTGTTGTGAACTGCCTTTGGAGTGAAAAACTTGTCAGCGCCTTCTGGGTTCAGCCTGGTCCCATAGCTCAGTGGTTAGAGCATTGCTCATGACAAGCAGGGTCCCAGGTTCGTGTCCTGGTGGGTCTGGCGTTTTTTTCTCTTTTCAGGCAGTTCACTTCCCCGACTGATCCTTTGAATTATTATTAATATTATTATTATTATTATTATTGTAAGAAATGGTTTGCTCCCCACACCGGAGCTCGCGGCGGAATAGCGCGAGCTCCGGTGTGGGGAGCAAACCATTTCTTACAAATCATCGCCGAAGTCGCAACCACTACTTCGTATTATTATTATTATTATTATTACTCAATCTGAGGACAGCATGCTGTTTCGTTCTTTTTGAACTCATCAGCGCAGCACAGAGGAAATGAGGCCGAACCTGATGGCAATGGAAATAAAATTTTCCAATTAGGCCCGAACGTACCTTGCCAGAGTGCTCAAACTGACAAGTCAGTGAGCTATGCATAACGCAAACAGCAAAGGCACTACCCCACGCAAGAGTGCTCAACTGCTACAAGAGCAGGAGCGAAATACTCAATCTGCGGACAGCATGCTGTTTCGTTCTTTTTGAACTCATCAGCGCAGCACAGAGGAAATGAGGCCGAACCTGATAGCAATGGAAATAAAAATTTCCAATCAGGCCCGAATGTACCTTGCCAGAGTGCTCAAACTGACAAGTCAGTGAGCTCTGCATAACGCAAACAGCAAAGGCACTACCCCACGCAAGAGTGCTCAACTGCTACAAGAGCAGGAGCGAAATACTCAATCTGCGGACAGCATGCTGTTTCGTTCTTTTTGAACTCATCAGCGCAGCACAGAGGAAATGAGGCCGAATATTATTATTATTATTCACTAGTTTGAGGGAAAGAGACAAACGGGAAAAGTCTGAAGAAAAAATTTGACTGTCACCACCAGGACTCGAACCAGGGACCCTCGCTTGTAGCTAGCGATGCTCTAACCACTGAGCTATGGTGTAGTCGTCATCCCAGCAGAGACTGTTCAACACTTTCTTCAGACTTCGTAACTCACACTTCCTGTGAATCCACACAGGCGGGTGGGACGCAGCCCTCACTGTACCCACACACTTCACGTACACTCTAGCACGCGGGGAGCCCCAAGTCATAACATCTTCACTAGTTTGAGGGAAAGAGACAAACGGGAAAAGTCTGAAGAAAAAATTGACTGTCACCACCAGGACTCGAACCAGGGACCCTCGCTTGTAGCTAGCGAAGCTCTAACCACTGAGCTATGGTGTAGTCGTCATCCCAGCAGAGACTGTTCAACACTTTCTTCAGACTTCGTAACTCACATTATTATTATTATTATTATTATTAACTGGTTTGAGGGAAAGAGACATTATTATTATTATTATTATTAACTGGGTTGAGGGAAAGAGACAAACGGGAAAAGTCTGAAGAAAAAATTGACTGTCACCACCAGGACTCGAACCAGGGATACTCGCTTGTAGCCAGCGATGCTCTAACCACTGAGCTATGGTGTAGTCGTCATCCCAGCAGAGGCCGTTCAACATTTTCTTCAGACTTCGTAACTCACACTTCCTGTGAATCCACACAGGCGGGTGGGACGCAGCCCTCACTGTAACCCACACACTTCACGTACAAACTAGCACGCGGGGAGCCCCAAGTCATAAAATATTAACTGGTTTGAGGGAAAGAGACAAACGGGAAAAGTCTGAAGAAAAAATTGACTGTCACCACCAGGACTCGAACCAGGGACACTCGCTTGTAGCCAGCGATGCTCTAACCACTGAGCTATGGTGTAGTCGTCATCCCAGCAGAGGCCGTTCAACATTTTCTTCAGACTTCGTAACTCACACTTCCTGTGAATCCACACATTATTATTATTATTATTATTTTAATAACGAAGGTACGTGTTGGGTCGTAAGTATCCACGCAAACACACATCCAGTCAAAATAAGGCACTTGTCAAAGTATCCGAACGTTTTCGGTCCCTTCTCATCAAGGATTATACAGGGAATGGCTCAAGTTGGAAAGACTAAAACTTATATTGCGTAAAGATATGAGATAACAACACTCGTGACAAGGTGGAAAAAGTATCAAGTTCAGCACGACACAAAACTCGAAGGAAATAATAATAGCGACAAGAACATATTGGGCAAATTAAGTTACATTGTTAACACCTCGACGAGGAGTAACACCAAACAATTGTAGCGACAACACATTTTCTTTCTGTACGCAAAGTTCAGGATCTAACTTACGGATATACAAAGCTTCTAACACAGCCAGATGCAACGCACATCTACCACGTGACAATATTGAGAACACATTATCACTGTACAACTCACGACAATTGGTACGGGCTGACAGATGTTGCTTGATGGACGAAGTGCGATTCTTAGCTCCGTTGGGTGTAGTCTCCTCCAATGTCCCGTCATCTCGCCTCTTCGCGGCATCACCACTATCCGTCTCTTTGCTTTTCCGCGGCCTTCCACGTTTTCTGACACTAGCCGTTGTGTGCGCGATGCCCAGTGTCCTTTCAGCTACGTCTCCTCCATTGCGGATTTCTATTGATCTTCTTACTCCAACTTGTCCGGTGTTCGATATTGAGGTTCGTTTTCGCGGTCTACCACGTTTTCGAATATTGACTGTTGTTGTCACTTCCGTTGTCGTTGTACAATTGTTTGGTGTTACTCCTCGTCGAGGTGTTAACAATGTAACTTAATTTGCCCAATATGTTCTTGTCGCTATTATTATTTCCTTCGAGTTTTGTGTCGTGCTGAACTTGATACTTTTTCCACCTTGTCACGAGTGTTGTTATCTCATATCTTTACGCGATATAAGTTTTAGTCTTTCCAACTTGAGCCATTCCCTGTATAATCCTTGATGAGAAGGGACCGAAAACGTTCGGATACTTTGACAAGTGCCTTATTTTGACTGGATGTGTGTTTGCGTGGATACTTACGACCTAACACGTACCTTCGTTATTAAAGTATTATTATTATTATTATTATTATTATTCACCCGCCTGTGTGGATTCACAGGAAGTGTGAGTTACGAAGTCTGAAGAAAACGTTGAACGGTCTCTGCTTGGATGACGACTACACCATAGCTCAGCGGTTAGAGCATCGCTGGCTACAAGCGAGGGTCCCTGGTTCGAGTCCTGGTGGTGACAGTCAATTTTTTCTTCAGACTTTTCCCGTTTGTCTCTTTCCCTCAAAACCAGTCAATATTATATGACTTGGGGCTCCCCGCGTGCTAGTTTGTACGTGAAGTGTGTGGGTTACAGTGAGGGCTGCGTCCCACCCGCCTGTGTGGATTCACAGGAAGTGTGAGTTACGAAGTCTGAAGAAAACGTTGAACGGTCTCTGCTTGGATGACGACTACACCATAGCTCAGCGGTTAGAGCATCGCTGGCCACAAGCGAGGGTCCCTGGTTCGAGTCCTGGTGGTGACAGTCAATTTTTTCTTCAGACTTTTCCCGTTTGTCTCTTTCCCTCAAAACCAGTCAATATTATATGACTTGGGGCTCCCCGCGTGCTAGTTTGTACGTGAAGTGTGTGGGTTACAGTGAGGGCTGCGTCCCACCCGCCTGTGTGGATTCACAGGAAGTGTGAGTTACGAAGTCTGAAGAAAACGTTGAACGGTCTCTGCTTGGATGACGACTACACCATAGCTCAGCGGTTAGAGCATCGCTGGCTACAAGCGAGGGTCCCTGGTTCGAGTCCTGGTGGTGACAGTCAATTTTTTCTTCAGACTTTTCCCGTTTGTCTCTTTCCCTCAAAACCAGTCAATATTATATGACTTGGGGCTCCCCGCGTGCTAGTTTGTACGTGAAGTGTGTGGGTTACAGTGAGGGCTGCGTCCCACCCGCCTGTGTGGATTCACAGGAAGTGTGAGTTATGAAGTCTGAAGAAAACGTTGAACGGTCTCTGCTTGGATGACGACTACACCATAGCTCAGCGGTTAGAGCATCGCTGGCTACAAGCGAGGGTCCCTGGTTCCCTGGTTAACCCTCCACCTCAGTCATGTTATCTACAACTTCGAATGCCGACATTGTGCTAGTCGGTATGTTGGTAGTTGGTCTTTCTGTTGAATCCAGCTCTGGTTCCGGTGGGACAAATCGACCGCCGCGGGTGCTCCCCACCAACACAGACCTCGAAGGAGGAGGGTCAGGGGGAGGCAGAGGTGCTGTCACCACTCGAGGCACAGCCCCATGCAAAGCACCCAGAGGCACAGACTTAGGCACACCCGAGGGCT